CCGATCATATTTTGATGGTGTCCCGGTCGTGTTGTGACGGTTGTGATTGTGTCCCAGTTATGTTGTGACGGTGTCCCGGTCATGTTTTAATGGTGTCCTGGTCATGTTTTGGCGGTGTGTCGGTTATGTTTGGATGGTGTCCGGGTCATGTGACGGTGTCCCGGTCATGTTGTGATGGTGTCCTGGTCATCTTGTGATGGTTTTCCCGTCATGTTATGTTGGTGTCCCGGTCACCTTGTGACTTGTGATGGTGTCCCGGTTATGTTGTGATTGTGACCCAGTCATGTTGTGACGGTGTCCCGGTCATGTTTTTGATGGTGTCCCGATCATGTGATGTCATGTTGTGATGGTGTCCCGATCATGTTTTGATTGTGTCCCAATTATGTTGTAATGGTGTCCCGGTCCTATTTTGATGGTGTCCCGGTCATGGATTGATGGTGTCCCGGTCATGTTGTGATGGTGTCCCGGTCATGCTTTGACGGTGTCCCGGTCGTGTTGTGACGGTGTCCCGGTCAGGTTTTGATGGTGTTCCGGTCCTGTTGTGATAGTGTCCTGGTCATGTTTTGGCGGTGTGCCGGTTATGTTTTGATGGTGTCCGGGTCATATGACGGTGTCCCGATCATGTTGTGATGGTTTTCCCGTTATGTCATGTTGGTGTCCCGGTCACGTCCCGGTCATGTTGTGATTGTGTCCCAGTCATATTGGGACGGTATCCCGGTCATGTTTTGATGGTGTCCCGATCATGTGATGTCATGTTGTGATGGTGTCCCGATCATGTTTTAATTGTGTCCCAGTCATGTTGTAATGGTGTCCCGGTCCTGTTTCGATGGTGTCCCGGTCATGGTTTGATGGTATCCCGGTCATGTTGTGATGGCGTCCCGGTCGTGTTGTAACGGTGTCCCGGTCAGGTTTTGATGGTGTTCCGGTCCTGTTGTGATAGTGTCCTGGTCATGTTTTGGCGGTGGGCCGGTTATGTTTTGATGGTGTCCGGGTCATGTGACAGTGTCCCGATCATGTTGTGTTAGTGTCCCGGTCATATTATGATGGTGTCCCCCGTCATGTTGTGATAGTGTCCCCGTTATGTCATGCTAGTGTCCCGATCACCTTGTAATGGCGTCCCGGTTATGTTGTGATGGTATTTCAATCATGTTATGACGGTGTCTCGGTCATATTTTAATGGTGCCCTAGTCATTTTGTGATGGTGTCCCGGTTATATAATAATAGTATTCCGTGCTGTAATAGTGTCCCAATTATATTGTGACGGTGTTTCGATCATAGTGTCCCAATTATATTGTGACGGTGTTTCGGTCATATTTTAATAATGCCCTAGTCATTTTATAATGGTGTCCCGGTTATGTAATAATAATGTCCAAAAAAGAGAAGGTCGATGTATTAAAAATAGCAGCTGTTTCCAGATTTTCTTTTTGTCCCGGTTTGTATCTTGCTATTGGGGTCTCCAGTTAGGCTAAGTATATTAATATATTTCAATAAATATATTTTTTTTATTTTATAAATTATCTATATTTTCAACCAAATTATATTCCTATTAAATCATTCGAAATCCCAAAATATTCATTTCGTCCGTCCACGCCAATTCCAACCAAACCTATCGATTAATGTGCGTAATATTAATACTAAAAATATTATATAAAGAGATTCTAAATATGTATTTGTAATTATATTAATAAATATGTGTGTACATAGTTGTTATATTAATAGTTTTATATATTAGTATTGTCATTATTTCATTCAATAAATAAGAGGAATTTGTCTGCTATTTGCAGGAAATTCTGCAAATAGGTATCAAATTTGGCCTCCCATTGATAGAAGCAAATCATAAGGTCATTGATGATTGGATGTGTTCGTCATAATGGCGATTCTGTTATATTTCAAAATATGTCAAAACCATTCCCCTCATTTCCCCTCCATCTTTTCCTTCTCCTTCTTGTCGCTCAACAACACGCTGTTGCTGACCATCAACTCCTCGGCAAAAGCTATGGCTTTGTAAACACAATTTCATGCGATTATACTAATACTTTTGTACACACATAGACACAAGTGAGAGGAGGCACATTCTCAGGCTTGCAGCTTCCTGCGGTCTGCTCTGCATAAGAACATAAGCAAGTATTTGTGTCTCAATTTTTTCTAGAATGGATCATGGATAGTGGGACAGTGGTTGGACAAACAAGTAGAGCTTGCGGGACGACAAGGCAACCAAATCCAGAAAATGCACAGAATAGTGTGACGTGTTGTTTACATTTAAAGGCTTTCAAGGGAGAATTCAATGGCTCAAAACCAATCTCCCGCATCAGGACAAGCTGGTGGGACTATTACCAGCCAGACAATCCATCATCATCTGCATGTCCGTTTCGTCCTTTTCGGTGTGGGGAATCATTTATCGTTTGTGCAAAGGGACTCTCGAATCTCTGACAGAGCTGTCAGGAAAACCGTGGAATCCGCTTGGACGTCAAAGGGAAAGGCCTCAACCTTTTGAAGACTTGTGGCAATTGATCTAACAATGTCCCACCAAACCCGCCGTGGCACTTTGGGTTCAATATTCACATGAAGAGACTGTGGATAGCATTGATCCCAAGCCCGAAAAAAATTATCAATCTTCGCTAAAATGGGGTTGCTCCAATGAAAAGGGAGAAGTCAAAACACAACATCGAAGAAGCAAACGTGGTTTCAAAAGTCCCCAACCTGTGACAATCTCGGATTTATGATGCCGACAAACAAGGGTCTTGGTGTTCCAATCTTCACGCGTTGAGGCAACCATTTTTTCAAGTAATCTGAACCACACTTCTGACAAAAGCACTTCCCCATCTCATCTCCAAACTCATTCCAAAAATGATTTGCACTTCTATCAAACCGACTATTCTGCCTCAGTCGGTCTGAGAACCAAACATAGTCAGTGGCCTTTGGGTCAGCACTTCGTGCCTGAGGCGGAGAGCAACAAATTCAATAAGCCATTTCAAACATTTCAGTTGCTTCACCAATGGCAAAGGAGTGATAAGGACTGTGGAGTGGAAACGCAGCAACCTCCTGAGGTTGTTTCCTCGTTGAACTTGTACCTTGCTGAAAGCAGCAACCTGCCAATACGCTCCACATCTCGCTTCGAATCCTGATTTCAGGGCGCGGCACTCTCGCACCGCCAACTGCGATTTTGTATACATGTGGGCACTCAAGTGCACAGTGATGCTTCCAGGGCTCCGGGTCAAACAGCTCGTAGAGCTCTTCCAACGCTTCTCTCATTTCTGGAATCCTTCGGGCATCTCTGGTTGCAAAATCGAACGCGTGGCAGCCTTGATACAATTAGCTTGCTGCGATGAAGCCAAGCGGCGGAGTTAAGTAAGGCTTGAAGCTGACAGTCACATCCTCCCTGTATGCCCTGTCCGGCATGATGTCGGATGGTTGGGAAGCACTCTCTCATGAGAAAAGCAAAACAACAAAAGGGGCATGTCATACAGGAGCCATGCACGACCTCCAAGCAATACATCGGCTATATGGTTTTTGGTACATCCATTTGTCCGCGCAGAGCCTGAATAAAGCTTCTGTCTTCTGCTTGGCATCTTTTATGGTGCCCAGTGCCTGAAGGATGGCAAGCTGTGGCAACCAACATCTAGGAACCGGCTCCTTCCAATCACGGCGATTTGGCTTCAATGAAACGCGCACCTTCTGAACCTTTTCGGAATTGATATCACCAACAATCTTCCTGTCCAGACGAAAGCAAGTGTTGACTAAATTGCCTTCCACATAACTTTGGTCTTCGTTCACCCTTTTGACAAGAGCACTCCACTCTGACCCTTTGAAAGGCTCTCCTGGATGAGAGATCAATCTCTTCCAACTTCCGGTAGTCGAGGGCTACCCCAATAGCATGGGCCTCCTTTGATGGTTGTGAGCATAAACTTCGCTGAGATCAAACACCTTCTTCCAAGCCTGGCCTCTGCACACAGCATCGAGGTCCACAATACACTCTGCCTGCGGCTGAATCAGTCTTCTTCAGTCACTTGTCCATCGGTCTTCCAATCACCACCTTCTGCCCCAACGAAGTGCGGACTGTCTGCCTCATCGCGAGCCATAGACATCATTTACTAAGATTTACCAAGTGCCAGCTAGTAGGTTGGAGGCCATCGCGTTTAGATTGGAGGCCATTGCTGCTAGTAGGTTGGAGGCCATTCTATTAACAATAACATATAATAATAACTCAAAAAAAGTTAAGCAGCTCTGTTGGCTCTGCTCAACGATCTCTCCTCTTCCCCCGAAAGCTGCCTTCGCTCTCGAAAAGAAAGTTAGCGGGGGCAATACTCAGCAAAACCTGAGTGAAAGCCAGCAAACCAAACACATTGATACAGTTTGAAAGAGCAACAACGCACTGCTATTTTCCTGCGGCATTGGATACAATGAGTCTGTGGAGATTGAATTAGCTCAATGCTGCAAGGGATGAGGGAAGGATCAAATCCTGGCCGTCGAATTTCTCCATGAAGAGACCAAAGTGCTCTTCATCAATTGTCCCATTTGCATGCATCAACCGCAACAGGTTGTAGCTGTGAAACGTGCCATGCATCTTAGCATATGCATCATCTGCAGTGGCCCAAGGTGGTACGAGCCAGGTGTCTCTGACATACTTGCGACCTTCATCGAACTGAGTCATTCTCCAGAACATGGGCCCAGCCGGCTCGTCCTGACCTGGAAATGGATGTCCAAGAAAGGATTCTACAACCCGACAGTAGTCATTGTCGTGCAAAGGTGTCGGGCAATAGAAGCGGACCCTGTACTGAAGTTTCTCAGCACCTGCAATCAAATACCCACCAGGCATGAAGGGTCCAATGCCACCAAATCTGGGTGCAGGAACGCCTGATTGGGCAGTGATGTCATAAATGTTCGTGTCCATTGCTCCTGTGGATGGGTCCCATTTGGTCAAGTAGCTGAAGTCGATCCAACCAGCAGGGCCCATTTGATCAAACATGTACACTCCTCGCAATGGAGGCTGTTCACTTTCAGGGCGTGTTGCCATTGGACCTTTCATGCCATGCTTTTCGAGGAATCTGCGGATCTCCTTGTTTGGAATGACCAAGGGTTTTCCATCGGTTGTCTTTGGAACATACTTTGGCAAGAGTGCACCAGCCGCCGCACACAATGGAGTAACATCCACCTTCACCAAGCCTGTGCCAACCAAAACCGCCAGCAACGGGACGACTACAAGGGAACAGCAGCCGCCGGCCACCATCTTGAAAAGGCTAAAACTTGCCTTCCAAATTGTCGTGGTAGCCTGGTATATTGATTTGACATGAGGGTCAATGGTATGTGATGCTTCTTTGGTTCCATGACAAATGGCGAATAACCGGCAGTTGCTGCACAAGTGTATATATTATATATACACATTAAATAGCAGGCTGCAGCAGGCGCTAAGAAGCCAGCCAACAGAGACGCGGCACATCTCCTGGAAGAGGAATTTAAGTTCCAAGCAACCCTTGAAATTTGGGAAGCTGTCCTCCAAGCTTTCAGCCCAAACGTCATGTTGCTCCTGGCATGCAGCCACAGAATTGCTCATCGCATCAATGCAACAATGTAACATGTAAGCTTCTCAAACCGGTGAACACACATCAGCTCAACATCTGGCACGACATTAAATGATTCATCTGGTTGGGCGGATTGAAAGTCACATTCTGCACGACTTTTCAGCACCTCCTCTTTGCCGCAAGACACGGCGCCGTCATGGCTCCGATGCTTCAAAGCTTCTGGTTCGCATGTGTGACGTCGCTGCCAGGCTGCAGATACGGACAAATGCTTGAGAAGCTGCGTGAGAGGGGTGAAAGGGCATGTCCTCTGGCACCAGGAACAGAAAATATGTGGGACATGTCGTTTCATTTTGGCTGTACTCGGCAAAAGCAAGCCGGGGCGTTTGTTGTGCACAAGCACATTTTCCAAAAGTATGGAAAGCGCCTGAGCTGTGCAATAAATCCTTGGCAAAGCGTATGCCCAAGGAAGGCGTGCATTGGCGGACTTCAGGGCCGAAATGCCCGTGTAGGGCCCAAAGAAAGAAGTCTATTCCGTCGGAATGGTGGCTGCACATTGGAGTGAGGGAAAGTTGACTGCAGAGATTGTGCCAGGACAAGTCCGGAGAAAAGCAGGAGTAGGCGAAGCTGTGGATTCCAAAACACGCAAACTTTGCAAACGATTGCTCCATGTGGTACTAGGGTATATTCGTGTCCCGAATCAAGTAGCTGAAGTCGATCCAGCCAGCAGGGCCCATTTGATCAAACATGTACACTCCTCGCAATGGAGGCTGTTCACTTTCAGGGCGTGTTGCCATTGGACCTTTCATGGCATACTTTTCGAGGAATCTGCGGATCTCCTTGTTTGGAATGACCAAGGGTTTTCCATCAGTGGTCTTTGGAACATACTTTGGCAAGAGTGCACCCAGCGCCGCACACAATGGAGTAACATCCACCTTCACCAGCAATGGGACGACTACAACGGAACAGCAGCCGCCGGCCACCGTCTCGAAATGGCTTAAACTCGTTAAAGATGTCTCCTTCGCTACCTTGTCCTGGTCAGTTGTTGAAGAAGTGACAACAGTACCACACGCTTTTAAGATCGTGTGAAAGGAGCGACCATTGCTCGGTGTCCTGCCATCTTACTTGGCAGATGCACACAAAGCAAGCGCACTTGCCACAGGTTACTTTTGCCAAGCCAGACAATGATGGTGCTTGCAATTCCCAACATATTGGTGCGCCCCACAAGAAAATGTTTCAATTAGAAGGGTCTCTCCTCGTTAGTGTAACTCGGCCCCAAATTGCAGGATTGGCATTGACTGTCATTATACCAGGTCCGTGCTAAAGTTATGCGCGCCATGCCATCATCCCCTGGCTTTCAATGCATTGCTGCGCATGTATGTTATTTTTGTGCAGTGTAATGATTGTCATGGTTATTGTGGTGATCTAATCCAATGTGTGGCCATCCGTGGTTATATCTAATTAGGTAGACGGGTAGAGACCGAAGGATTCAATCTGCAAATGGTACACCTGGAGGTTTGAACTGGTCACGTCACAGTATGGGAGCACAACACGAGGCAAGTGCATCTACTCTGTGGCTTTTCTGCACAGGTCAAACTCATCGATGTCTTTTGCAGCATGCGGAGCAGCCTGCTTCATCTTTGGACAGTGTGGCAAGTCCCAGCACACTGCATGGACACCGATCAGCTCTTGGTGTGTCCCAACTAACTGACCTCCGCACGTTAAAGTGACCCTGACAGGGACAAAGGAAGGACAAGGTCCTGACCATCGAATTTCTCCATGAAAAGACTAAAGTGCTCCTCATCAATGCTCCTGTTTGCATGCATCAAGCGGAGCAGGTTATAGGTGTGAAACGTCTCATGACTTTCCGCATATGCATCGTCTGCAACGGCCCAAGGTGGCACAATCCAGGTGTCCCTTGTGTATTTTCGTCCCCCATCAACTTGCTTCAGCATCATTCGAAAATGAGTTCGCCCGGCCTCATCCCGGTCTGGAAAGGGATTTCCAGAAGAGGATCCCACTATGAGGCACCGATCACCGTCTCGCACATGCACTGGACAATAGAAGCGCATGGTGGATTGCATTTTCTCAGCACCTGCAATCAAATACCCACCAGGCATGAAGGGTCCAATGCCACCAAATCTGGGTGCAGGAACGCCTGATTGGGCAGTGATGTCATAAATGTTCGTGTCCATTGCTCCTGTGGATGGGTCCCATTTGGTCAAGTAGCTGAAGTCGATCCAACCAGCAGGGCCCATTTGATCAAACATGTACACTCCTCGCAATGAAGGCTGTTCACTTTCAGGGCGTGTTGCCATTGGACCTTTCATGCCATACGTTTCGAGGAATCTGCGGATCTCCTTGTTTGGAATGACCAAGGGCTTTCCATCAGTGGTCTTTGGAACATACTTTGGCAAGAGTGCACCCAGCGCCGCACACAATGGAGTAACATCCACCTTCACCAAACCTGTGCCAACAAAAACGGCCAGCAACGGGACGACTACAAGGGAACAGCAGCCGCCAGGCACCATCTCAAAATGGCTTAAACTCGTTGAAGATGTCTCCTTTGCTACCTGGTCCTGGTCAGTTGTTGAAGAAGTGACAACAGTACCTGCTATGTTTCTTGCAAGCTGCAAATTATAAGCTTGGTTGCTTGAACCTGCAAAGGGCTCGGGAGGTGGGGGTTTGAGGGTCGATGGCCACCACGATGAAAGGATTAGGCTCACTGCCATGCAATTACTCACAGCGCAAAAAACCCAGGAATTCTGTGAGTACTGCCGGAACCAAAAGATGGGAAGCTGAAAGGGGATGGAAACAAATGTGGCAAGGCAAAAGAATAAATGCGATGAAAAGAAGTCAGCGAGAAGAACTGGGGGGAGGCCCCAGAAAGATATGGATTGATCGAATATAAAAAATCCACCAAAGCCAAGTGGAGATTCAAACATGCCGCATGAATGCGCTTTTGCAGTGCTGGATGCACCTTAATTGGGCCCACCCTGGAAAAAAAAAAAAAGCGAATGGATCACCGCGCTAGCGAGCCTATCGAAATTGACAGGGGCTAGCATAGTCAATTGTGGCCAGTGTGACAAGGGCTCAAAGCTGACATCAAAAATCAGTTGTGATGACTAAAACACCCCGCTCTCTATTAGTTTGGAGGCCATCGCTGGAGGCCATGGCGTCTAGCTTGGAGGCCTATCAACGGTTGTGATGACTGAAACACCCGGTTGCGTTGCCTTTTTAACTGTTGGGCGCACAAGCCCGATGGAGGTGTCGCTCAATGAGACACAATTGCATTGATCACCCATCTTGAATCTAGCAAACCTAGGAACCCCAATATGCTCAGCATGTGGGTGCCCAATACAACCTGAAGCCTCGTTCCATTGAAAGACATCCAGTTCTGGAATGTCTCACTCGAGCATCCGCTGAGGGTCCTTGGATTGGAAATAAAGATCGGGCAAAATCTTCAGGCCATGAAAAACCAAGCTCAGGTCTTAGGATATGTCCTGGCACATTTCGGGATTAACCTAAGGGACAAACTTACTCACTTTGGACTTGGCAGCTCCACATCCACAGTGGCATGAGACGTTCAATCTAATCATCGTTTACATTCATGTGCTTCAGGTATACTTTGGGGAGTAAGAGTCACAGACTGAGCTTCAAGCCAACTGCAGCCCGCCTCCTGAATCAACAAAGAAAGGAATTCTTTGAATGCCAGCATCGACTGGAGCAGTCTAGTTGAAGACAAAATGTGCAGCGTTTGCTCTTTGAGTCACGCCTCTTCTTCTTTTTGGGCTGCTTCTGTTCTTGAGCTTCAGGCTCCTTGAAAGCTTGCGCCCGGTATGAAGCACAGAAGGTACAGCCCTGCGTGTGTACAATTCCGTTGTCACATCTCCTCTGCCTCGGCTTCATTATCTGCAGTCCCACCTTGACCACGAATAGCATCAATTCGATATCAAAGAGAAACATGTTTGCACAAATAAAGCCTTCTTGTTTCTAGTTGGTCTGAGGGGTAGTAAAACAGACATGTTTGGTTGCAAAAGCATTCCTGCAAGGACTAGCTTCCTTGGTAAAGTCCATGTCCCAAGGCGAGCCTTTCAGCAAGGCAAGGGTCCTAAACAATCCGTTGCACCTCCATTCAAGATCTCATCGACGTCATAGTCGATTTCCAACTGCCGAAGCTTTCCCTGTCACTCAATAGGCTTGGTAACTGATCAAATACAGAAAATAACGACTGTTTGACACTAACAGGCCTTGAGTTTCTTCCTGCGCCTCTCATGGTGCTTCACCTTCAAAGGTGACCAGGTTCACAGCTTGCAAATCAGAACAAGCAGCCCAGCCATACCACGATGTATTAGCCAAATCAAGGGTATCAAACTTGCAAAAGACCTGTAAGGTAAAAGGTAAAAGGTAAAACACCTTTCCCGAGACCATCCAAGCCTGGAGCTCTGTGAGCTGTGGCACAGCTTGACCATCGACCTGTGTTCGCAGCAGGACACAGCACAGGACACCGTCTCGTATGCGAAACCCTAGAGTGTCATGCAATGTGGCCTCAAATCGAAGTAAGAAAGGCGCTCATGAGGCAAGAGGTTCGCAAGATCTGGTGATCTCCAAGCATTCCCCATGCCCACCTCGACTGTGGGTCGATCATTTACGGAAAGCATCTGCTTTTCTCGTCGGCGAGGTCTTGGGTCCTCGTGCACCGAGTATCTGCAACACCCGTATCGCTGCTGCAAAATCCTTCGTCACTGTCGTCGTTCTAAGGCCCCTGCAAAAGGCTTCCTTCGCCAGCCCTTGAACATCTTCGGGTGACACTGGCACACAGCCAAACTCCACCAGTCTCAAAAGCCACAAAACTCTTGAAATGATGCTCTAAACGTTCCGATCGCCTCGTCCTTGGGCTTGAACTTGCACACCAGAGACCTGTCACCAAGAAGATACCTTGGCACTGTGATCGGTGCCAAATCAGCCAACAAACAATCTACGTTGGCATGTGTGCCAAATTGCGCAATACACTCTCTCTCTCTCTCTCTGTGTGTGTGTGTGCGCGTGAGATCAACTTGCATCAGACGTTGAGAATACCATGTGGTGATGCAAGTGTTCAAGAAATGGGTCCAACTCTGAGAAAAGGACCCGAAAGAGCACACCAGGCATCACAAGCGTTGCAACACAAACGAAGCACGTATTGCGCATGGGAGCAGAAACTATTCAAGCATGAAGTAAATCAAACCAAGAATCTTGTTCATGGTTTGCGCCACGATCTTTGCAACGCTCTCCTGTCTAAACTCAATGAAGCCGAAGCCCTGGCGTTCGCTCAAACCGACCACATGCTTCTTGTTCCTAGTAGCTTCTTGCTACTAATAGAAATGACAGGAGCTACTAGTAGCTTCTTGCTCCTAGTAGCGATGCCCTTTGTTACTAGTAGCGTCCTTGCTCCTAACTTCCCAACGGCAGGAAAAACCTGTGGGAAAGGCCCTTGCCTTGGACCCGCCAGTTTTTGGCGAGCGAGAGAGCCGAAAGCGGGTGACCTCCCCGAATTGGGAGAAGTACCTGACGGATTCTTAAAGAAAAAAAAGACGCTAGTGTGATCTAGTGTGCTCGTGGACACCAGGTCTTCTCGTTGAGAGAACTCACTAATAACTCATGAAATCCGATGGGCACGTCTTCATCTGCGGCTCAAAAAAACCGTTGGGAAGAGAACCTCAAATGTGTTTTGAAGCCACAATAAGCAAGATATGACGTTCTGTTTATAACTAAGGAAGTGTGTGGACTGCGATTGCAATGTTCTTGGAGTTGCTCAATCAGGGGACATATCACATATCACATCGCCAACCACTTCTGTTCTGCTGCATTCCGCTGTCACTTTCCACACAAACAGCGCGAAGATGCCGGGTTTCATGTCTCGAACTCATGGAAACTGTTCGCTGTGTGGCATCAGCTAATGCTCTCTCCAAGTCCATTTGCAGGTTGGCAACGCAATCGTTCTTTGTTGAATCTGCTTATTCCTCATCTTTGGTAATATCAATTTCTTGCAGCTTGCTTCAGCTTGCTTCCCTGCTTTCATGTCTTGTTATTGATGGGTGCAAGCAGTTGAGTCGTGTAGGCTCCAGACCCAAATATACGACTCCTCTGGGCTCGGCTTCTTCATCCTGGACATAAGGTGACTCAGGCTAGCAGCCCTTTGCAGCCCTTTGCAGCTCTTCAGGCCCTTCTGCCTTGTCTGCATCGGCTTCCAACGCTTCTGTCAACCGATTGGCTTTGGTTTTCCGGCGCTTGGGCGCCTCACAGAACTAAAAAGCAGCGCTCCGTTAAGGCTATTCTATGCCAGCTATCAATAAGGACATGCCAGCCCTAATGCAAGAAAACGTCTTCCTAAAATTTAGGAACCGAGTCCAACCGTCATTGAAGAAGTCTGAGCTGAGAGCGTGCCCGGACACCTAGTAACATCGTTGCTTATTTGTACCTACTAACTATATAGTCTTGCCCGCCTCATACTTATTCAGTTTACTGAAGCTCACCTCACGGTGAGCTAAGCCAACACCTAAACCTCACATCAACACAAATAGCTGATGGCCTCCAACCAAATAGCAATGGCCTCCAACCCAATAGCAATGGCCCTAGTAGCGATGGCCTCCACCCTAGTAGCGCCGGTCTCCAAATTAATGATGACCATTTCTTTGGCTTCTGAACTTCTACGGACAAGAAGCGAGGAGATGTATACAATATATAAACAAAATACGGCAACAAGTGAACCATCCGTGGCTTGGAGCAGACAAACACACCAAAGCAAGATTGATGTTATACAACATGGCAACAGGAGTATTACGTGATCAATACACTATACAGGAGGCAAGTTGAGCATCACTGGAACACATGCTCCGCATTCTGCTAGATCTCTGCGAGACAAGACCGGTAATACCAAAACCTTCGTGATATTGCCAAATCTTTTGGTCAAAGCAACCGACATATCTTTCTAGGAGACTTCAACACCAAACTTCTGTGAAGAGTATTGGATGGATAATACAGCTTCATGAACGAACAATACTCATGAACCTCGCGCATTTCTTGCAAACACTTTGCAAAATATGGCAGCCAGATACTTAGCCCCGATTCCACCAAACCATCGGAGAGAGACTTTATCTCCGCAAAAATCTGGCAGCTATTGGAGGCGCGTCAACATGCTGGTACCACTGGCAACGCGCAACTTGCAAGTTCGCAAAGACTAAGTTCAACACCAAATGCGGGATTGAAACATGTTGCAACATGTTGGGAGGCATGGACGTATATGATATGATATGATATGATACGATACGATACGATACGATACGATACGATATGATATATATATATATGTGTACATACTACTTAAACACAAATACTGTACATGTACACAAAAGGTATACATGTGTGACGTCTAGGAAAATAGCATGGATGTCAAATCCGACTCCTGTGCCCCAAACAATCGATGAACTCCATGCAAACATTCTTTTCTTGGAGATGTACACACTACGTAAAAGAGAAGGCCCCCCCAAACACTCCAAGGAATAGGCAACAATGGCAAGGCGTTTCCGAGCGTTTTGACTATTGCTTAAGGTTTCACTACTAGTAGGAGTAGGACATAGTAGAACGCACTCTCTGCTCAGGTTTCTTCACCTCTAGAAGCGATGGCCTCCAACCTGCTAGCCATGGCCTCCAACCTACTAGCAATGCAGTCTTGAAATCCCTCTGATTCCCTCTGCTCATCTGGCATTGAAGGAATTATTTAAGGTCTCGACCGGTTTGGCGGCTTCCATCAGTTTCTAAGCCTGAGCCTCACCAAACTACGATCCAAAGCCATGCGTGTAGAATGTTTCTTTAAACGCAATGTAGCTTTCTGCAAGTGCTTGGCCGCTACACTCACTGAGTTGACAACTGGATCCATGAATCGGTTTAAGGTTTCAATTTGTGAAGCAGCAGCAGTCAGAACAAAAGGAAAGTAGGATTAAGGCCAACTGCAACTTGTCCACACTTCAGGCTGGGACTGGCCCCACAGCACATTTGCAGGGCATCGCTTCTTGAGCAAGACCGGATATAGAGCAGAAACGTTTGCAAAGGTCTAAGTGATCTAAATTGAACATCTTGTCACATCCCTGCATACTCAAGAACTATTTATATATATATATAAGAAGAAAAAGTTCCTTTCAAACACTTTTTGCAGTAACCCATTCGTTCTAGGATCGCCTGCAGGCTCAGCTATACAAAACTTCTTACTACTCATTGGCCATTCACACAGCTACTCAGTGTTATTCATCGGTGATATCAGTTTCGTTTAAAAAATACATAAAATAGAATAAATACATACAGTAAATTGCCAGCCAAAAGGAAGCTGATGTCTCTGCTGCAAACTCTCGCTTTTGGAGCACGCGCCGCTCATCGAAAGTTGCTGAGTTTTCTTGTTTGGATTAGCTCTCAACCGCTCTCCACACCGTTCTCTTCTCAGGTGTGCGGAGTTCCAAGGGGTCTTCTTTGGCCCTTCCAGCGCGTTCGCTGAAACCTATGCAGGTGTGAGGGTTCGCTTGTGTTCCGACTTCGACCCCACAACATGAAAAATAAATATCAAAGTAGATCAAAGTAGTTCTATTAGTTCTACTGTACTGAGGTGTTTCTCATGCCATGTGGTATGCAGATTGGGTGCCGGGCATAAACTGATGGTTTTGTCGGACCTGGCAAACAACGATGGTGTCTCGTAACATGTGCATTTTCAAATGCACAGAGCTGGAAAGCGCACATTATGAATCCTCCGCTCAATGGCTTTGTTATAGGCTTCTTGGAAGCCCAAATCCTGCCAGGCTATGTAATTGAAAGCTTTGACTGGCTCTGACTATTGTGACCCATTCAATGGTGACTGGCACAGGTATCGCTGCTATGGTCTTGTCCTCGGTGCTGAACATGGCATACGTCTTTATGCCACAGTTGCTCCAGCGGGCCACCCATGACTTCTCCTTCAAAGTTGTCAAGGATCATTGTGCAACACAAGTAAGAATGCCCACAGCGGATTCTGAACAACATCATACCACAGTATTGGCACACACGTCTGCTGACAAACGCAACAACTTGAAAATGGACAACCTCTCAAGAGGTGGATGATCCCTCAATACACGTACTTTGGGCTGCAAGTTGTGTGCAGTCTGAGGTGTGCGCTTTGAATAAGGCACTCGAGGTTAGGTGCATGGAACAAACATGTTTCGGTTCCTGTTTGTCAAAGAAAACCCCACGGACACCACTGCGGCACTGGTCTGGCTTGGGTGAACCCAGCTTGCCTCAAACAAAGTCGCATGCGCAGAGCGATTTTATCCAATCAAATCAAGCTGACATTGAAGTCCGTCCCATATTCCTCTCTGGAAAAACCACAGCATGCGCAAAGTTTCATCCAATGCCAAACTCAACAACATAGATTGTTACCACCCCACCACTAAGCCTAGTACCACCAAGCTGCAGCTGCTTGAAGAAAAGGATGGCGCGAGTGCGGCCTGGCGAGAAGATGAAAGAGAAACAAAACTTGTCAAAAAAGAATTGACGGGTCCTTTTGTTATTATCTCAGCCTCTCTTGTCTTGAGATCCAGCCTTGCTCAAATTGGCTGCCCCTGGCATTAAACCATCTAAAGACCTGCAGGAGGCCGAGTCGGGCACGGGGCTCTCGGCTAGCACACATGGCTGAATCTTGTTCATCTTGGGCATTCTCATTGTAATCTTTGAGCTTGACATTTTGCAAACCTCCCTACCTGCACACCATGCCGGTACCACATAACCTGCATAAACCACACCCGTGCTCAACATGTTGCAGCAGCAACCAGCAAAAATGATGCAAAAAAAACAGAGCCACAGGAGGTCTTGTCTTCTGTCTTCTGAGATTGATGCCATCCAACGTCTCATACGATGGTCGTAGATCACCTCGTACATGTCAGTCTGCACTGGCGAATGGAAAATCCTCTGACGCGCTGGCATGTCGACGGCTATTTTCATACCTCAGCAGCATGTCAAAAAATTCAAGAAGCAACTAACATCAAGGTCAGGCATGTGCTAAGTGCCCCACAGCGGTATCCGCATACGAAACTGATCCCTCGGCCAATACATTTCCATCCGCTTGCCCAGTCCCTGCAGCAGTTTTCATTTTGTCCAGATGAAAGCAGGAATTGCAAATGGTGCTGCCACAGCATACAGTACATTGTACCTTGAACGGCTATTCTTGAGAAAACACTTTGACTGAAACGACACAAACAAAGCAACGGACCATAGCTACCTGCCTTCTGGTGGACTGTGCGGGGACGCGACTGGCAAAAATAGCTTGCAAGTTGAAGCAACTGTTGTCACGCTTCCACACTTCCAAAGTGCCAGGCCGGCATTCTTCCGCCTCTGTTTCAGGCCCAATTTTCGGCCTGCAAAGCGGACCTGGCAAAGACCAACATCTACAGATCCAAAATCTTTCACCTTTCCTACTAGCGATGGCCTCCAACCCACTAGCGATGGCTTCCAACCTACTAGCGATGGATGGCCTCCAATCTACTAGC